GATGATTGACAACAAGTACGGTAACCTTACAGTAATCCTACAGTACCCTGACCAAAAGATGATAATGTGTTAGATCTAGCCGAACTCGTACGATATCATGCAGTCCAGTGCCAGATGGTTCGATGAGTGCCGGAACTACTGTTTCACATCCTGGTTTCCCGCTTAGTCAGCCCTCCAGGTAGGCATCTGCCTCTCCGATTGGAAAAATCGATTTATCGATTTATTGATTTTTTAGTCCCATTGTTGATGACAACACGCATCCGCAACTCGTCCCATCACCGTGTATAAATCGACCTGGAAACTCGACATTACTGAATAGAACAATCTCAGACGAGAGCTCTAACACCTCGAATAGGTGGGTTGGCTCCGAACCGATCGATATATCAACTGAAAAGTCTAGCCCTTCGTTTCTTCGAGTTCGTTAATTGTATCAGAACAGCGTGAAAATGTGCTATTTTTCAATCGTAAAGCCTACCATCATTTTGAATGCAGCAGAATCGATTCTTAGCATTTTTCTGTGTTTCCATTTGTGGATGCATCCGCTGAATTTGGCTAAGCCTCTTTCTGAGTGTACTGAGTACGGAGGCCGTGACTACTTTCTTTTTCTTTTTCCATGCGTATGCTAAAAAAATACGCAAACACAATTTTACAAAAAACTGATGTGATTATTACACCGAAGATAATCTCAATTTTCTCTGAACTTTGAGTTCATGCTTCACTTGAGTTTTCCCATTTATAGAAAGCCTAAGAGAGTTGATAATTCTATGTATGCTCCGAATAAATTGGATTGCAGCTGCTTTCCTCGTTAACCTTTTCGACGTAGACATTTCCAATTTGCAACTTTCTATCTTCACAGCATTCAATTTCAGCCGGATGTTGGTTTATTTCAAACTATAACTTTCCTAGTTTTCAAGTATTAAGAGATCAAAGAGTTCCAATCAATCGTTGCGAGAATTTCTGACCTAGAATTTTGAGACTTTACTGATAGACTTTTTTGTGAAATTTTCTTATATAGTAGAGGCGATCTATAGCTTAAAAGTTTCTCTAGACGTTGCCTTTCCAGATTCTTTATGCTGAAAAAAGATTCGGAACGGCGGCACACCCTGGCACAATTCATGTCGGACTACTCTGAGCAAGTAAGTCGTCTAGCAAGACCTGATAGGCTCGGCTTTTTATATTCTACGGAAGGAAAATGAAAATTTTGGTCTATTGCCATATCTGGGCTACACAATCATCAGAAATAATGAGAATGTTTGCAGATAATAGACACTTGGATGCATGGAATCATTGCATCAATGGATAGTGCCGAAGTTGTGGTAAGGAATTAAATTGTTACCTAATGTAGACTTATTGATTTATTGATCGATTGACAGGTGACCATGCATATGCTGGAAACGTTGCTCGATGGCATGCGTGAATTTCTGCTGAAGAAAGAGACAAAGCATATTCAAGATGCTTT